CTTACACAACTATCTTAGCACTATATCTTTGTAATGTACTACTCATAAGGTTGGTGAAAATCCGCCTGAGAACATCACAAACGAGAGATTCAGCTGGGTCCCAGGTGAGTCTCTCGAAAAAAAACAAATTAGTTTGCAAATGAGTGTATAATCGCTACCTTAGCACTAGCTCATCCACACAGACGGACAGAATGTTCAAGCGACGTTCAAGAAGGACCATCAGATGAACCAAACCAGTCGAACTAGATCCTAGGCTGGACCCAAACACATGTATGTTTCCCCACCGACCCAACCACTCTAACACACAAAAATCCCTCGGCCGACACCCAACAGAGATTTAGCTTGACTTAGCTGATTGGTTCTCCTTACGCCTTAAATCTCGATCAACCTCGGAACCTAGTCATTTGGCCTGACGAAGCGGAACGCTGCCCAGCAATAAATCTACCGATTGTCACCAAAACTTTTCGAAAACGATATTTAGGCCACTGTTTCTCGCCGTATAACTGAACACTTGACTATTGGCTTTAATGGTACTACTTGTAAACTATGTGTAAAATATTGATATGGTCATAATATAGTCACTGTTTCCGAATCAGACCAGATAGCACTGAGATTTTTTTCTCTGAAAATCAGAAATTATCCGAATTGACACATGTGTTCCGTTGGAATCTAACCAAGCGCAAATAAAAACTCTAAAGATGTACATCGCTCTTTCAACTGGGGTTGGGAATTTCGGCATGCGGTTTCAACCAACAGCTAGACAGGATGTGTCAAAAGCCGTCGTGAACAGCTGTCCAAAGTTTTGTTGTAGAGAAAAAAGTGTACCGAAAATTCAAGCCTTACTCAGAGTGATTGATAATGCTGAAGGGTTTTCGATAATGAATTTCGACTGAAAGCAACTTTTTTGTGGAACATTTTTAATTTCAGTGTCTCACAAACAAAAGAAAAGGACAAAACTTGGAACAGCTTTGGTCGATCATTGAAAAGAAAGTATTTTATTGGTGAAGCTAACCTCAATGTACCACAAATACTTACATTTGCACAGTAGTTCGGTTTTAACAAGAGACTGAGTTGGATTCAGCTGAGTTGCTAGTTTATAATGGCTCGCTTTAACTGAATGTGCTGCAGCAGGCCTTGTCATACTTCGGTTGGTACACTGTCCGAGAAATCGCAATACGCCTTTGTTTACGAGCAACACACTACACATAAGGTTGCTGAAATCACAACCGGTTTCACTCTTATTCTAGCTCATCAGCTAGACATAGTTTCCGTCAACCACGCTTTCTAAATGAATCCAAAAGGTGCGCTCCATGGTGGTGAGGTCTGGTGCAGCACATTCAGTTGAAGCTCGCCATCATAAACGACAGATTCAGCTAGAGTCACTTGGGATTTTCATGTAAAAACCTAATTCGTTCGCAGACGAGATTATTTGTGGAAATCTATGCAGTCTAAGGACAAAAAGCTGCACTCTCCCCCTGAGCCCGAAGAAGGACGTAACCGGTCGTGGGCGGTCGAAGAGTTTTGGCAAATAGTATCGTTAAGTCTGGCCTCAAATTAGTTTCTTTTGTGGCTTGTTGCAGCCTACAAATTTTCGAATATTACTTGTGAAAGCAAAAAAAAACCCATACCAACCAACGCAAAGCTTTAGCTGTCTCCGTAGAAGTTCTCGCCCTAAAAGTGCACCACAGTGCGCGCCTAACCGCGGACCGACAACATTTTCTACTTTGGACGAAATAACTATCAAAAGAGGTCAGTGTATAGCTTCAACTCTACGCTTTTTAACGTATATGTTAACCGATTATCTTCACTCCAGATAAACTGGAACTTAGTTGGAAATTCGGGCAGTGATCACAGAGCAGACATTAGTTTAACGGAGAAAAAAGGATGATACCGAGTTTTTCGGAATATCTCAAACACAAAGTCGAGTATCTACGTCTGTTACGAAATCACAGGTTCGTGGGGAACGTGCGGCCGAGCGCATATCTTCATACCTGTTTGTTGAAACAGCGAGTTTACAAAGACGGACGGAACTCTATCACATCTTATACGATATACACTATAACACGCACGTACGATTAGTAAAACTCCATATCTAAAATAGTCCCCGATATCCTCCGCACAATTGATTGGCTGTTTTTAGGAAAGAAGTTTTATAACCTGTACGGCACACGTAATCCGTCGCTGGACTTTTTTTCTTGAAAAATAATCAAAGAGCTTCACTGTCTTTTCTGATTAACGCATACGCGAATCTCGCAGGCAGCGTCGAATGGCGTTCGTGTTTCATTGGAGAACTTTCTTCTCTCAAGTTCTCTTTTCAATGTTTCTCTCTCCCTCTCTTGTTAAATTGCATTCCTCGTGAGCAGGGTTCCTCTAGATGTGTTTTCCGGAAGCACTCGGTGGTGATTGGACTTCGATTTTGTACAAATGCAATTTAGTCATAAATTCTACATGATCCAATGTTTCCGGTTTCAAAACTGCACGCGAGGTTTGTATCGTAGAGTTAAATGAGGATGGTGTCTTTGCATGAATCAATGCCGAATTTCGCTGTTATTTCGTGCTGTCCCTCGTCGGTGAAAACTTTATGAAGCGCACCAAACTTTTCGCAGCTTTTGTCACAGTCATAACCAGTTGAAATTGAAAAATTCGAGAGACGAGTTAAACATTGTTTGGACTGACGAATTTTCACATTCGGAATCTCCGAGCTCAAAGTTGAGAAAGTTATTCGCCCATTGCCCTGTTCGACGGTCATAAATGCTTTAAAATTAGATTGAAAACTAGCGAAATACAATCATTTGTAAACTAATTTAGTTTTCCAAGAGACTCATCTGGAATCCAGCTGAATCTCTCGTTTGTGATGTTTTCAGGCAACGGAATGTGCTGCACCAGGCCGCCTCATGTTTCAGTCGCTACGCTATTCAAGATGTCGCGATACATGTATATTTGTAGTGCACTACTCATGTTACTGAAAAATTCGTCGACGAATTTACTGTGAAATGCTTCGTTCAGTTTGTTGACACGAGACACGTCAAGTGTCATTGCAGAGGGATTTTTTTTCGTTAGGTAATTGAGTTGTGCTTTAAATTAGTCTACAAAAGCAGACCGTCCGGCTCGTCACAGATTTCTGAAATGGATCGTGTCTGGTATGAAGCCGTATTTCTCTTGTATTTAACAATGAAACCTTATTACTAGGTTATTCATCACTTTATTCAACAAAGATTTCATCCAGAAAGCGAGTCCCCTCTATGCTAAAAAACCGAGAAGCATTGTACAGCCGTTTCATCTTTGTTGGGAATCACATCTAACAAAACTCAGACAGTTTCGAACCGACAACCTTCCGGTCAGCACTTGAACGTTTGACCATGAATGACCAATCAGTCGTGTGATTAGTTCTCACTTAGGAAGGACGTTGCGCCATCCATTAACGGAGCCCACATCACGCGGTCACTTATTGACTATCTCCCCAAATGAGGACTTCTCAGAACGAAGTTTCACACATCCTGTGTAAGTATCATTCATCTGAGGTGCCGTTTTAACTCAATGCCGTCGATAGTCGGTCAGTTAAACAGTCCGCCCACAAATCGAAAGTAAGCGGTTCTTAAACTACGTCTCGGAAAGTATTTATATTCCTATATCATCAGCTGCGTATCTCACCTGCTATACAGAGGTTTCAATTAATGGTATGATCACAGAATATATTTTTATGATAAAAAATAAGGGGTGTCTAGTCACAGTAATTTGTTGACTTCTGGTCAAAAACTGTTAGTAGTACTCACTACGAGATCTTTTCCTGAAGTAAGAAATACGAGCAAAAAGGGAGCGTTTTTGTCAAGTTAAATGAAGTAGTCATGGGAGTCTTATCAGGAGTTGACGGTCAAATTCTTTGAATGGCATGGTCCGGATTGCCGTCTCCTACTTGAAAATTTTGTGCACTACTGCATCAGTAGGACGGCAGCTCAAATTTTATCGATATTGTCCAATTTCTGGAAACCATCCTCACTCAAAACATGCTACAAGCAAGGGCTTGGCATAATACCATCTGAAGAGACGAGGATTTCAAACGTTTCGAATGTGGACCACGTAGTCAAAACCAAGCCAAGTAGCCTCCCTGCTATATTAACCGGAACACCGCGGAAAACTAACAGAATCGCTTCAAAACTTCTTGACATACATATCAGGAAATGCTTGAAATTTATGACCTGTTGGTTGGATCGATCGTTAAAAATACGTATGGACAGAACGATGCGTCTTTCAGGCAGTGCACTTTATGGGTCACCGAAATACCAGGATTGTTAACTACGTATATTCGGTTCCCCCAAAAGACAGCGTAAAAAATAGGTCTTTTATTAGGGATCGTACCTTAATGGGGAAGAATATTCCCTTTCTTGGTTCGCTATATTCTATCATTCAGTCTGCGAATCACAGTTCGATGGCTGGTTACGCCACTAGGCAGGTATAGTATCGTTTACACACACACACACAATCCTAAGACCAGCCCCATTTTAAGAAGCCCACAGAAGAATTTTACGTGTGCACAAGTGCTACATTCTTTCAAAAGATGTTGGGTCAAGAAATGTTGGCCAATTATACCTCGAGTCTTCGACTTTTGCTTCGCTACACATCACCCAACTAACGCTGTTTCTCATTAGTTTCAAACAAAAGTCTTTCCAACTTAAATGCATCCGAAGAAAGCGGATTTCCAACTTTCTAAGCAAGGTTGGTCGTTTTTTTCCGGTGAACCCTCAACATATCCGGTGATCAGGAATATATTTTCGCTGTCTTGGGGCTCGAATTCGTGACCTCTGACATACAAGCCGAGCGTGTCACTAGACCACACTTGCCGAACATGAGCTAGCACGTCCGAGCCGGCGGAGGGATTTGAATGGCTTACCCGAAACCCCGATCAATGACTCAGTAGCTTTGTTGGTTGTGTCGATCGATTGACCTACGGGTGGGTGGTTTTTGAAGGGAGAGAAGGAACACTTAAGAGGCTTCGTGAAAAATCAGTCACATCGATCAAGAATAGACACACTCGACTTCTCAGAAGTGATAAATAGGTTGTGGTTGGCACGTCTGGCAGTTGGAATGCCAGATCGGGCGAGTTCCGGTGACTTCTAATATGACTTCCACTTCGCTTAGGAACTCACCGGTATCATTTCGCTAGGGCCATGAAGAGAGTTTTCGGACATGACTGACGAGAGTTTGAAAACAATGAGCAAAGTATGAGCCGGTTGAAATCGGGGCAGATAATTCCGATACATATTTAGCAAGTCACGTGAAACCGACTGATGGTAGCGGGTTGAGATATACCCAAAGTCCGCAAAACGCACTTTTGTGTGTACAAAGCTGTGGTTTAAAAAATTGAGCAGAATGTAGGTTGGTCATGTTTATCCCACTTTTTTCAGCTTTTTTCCCTCAGGGTCAGACGCGTCTTGTCCGTGGAAAGAGCAAAAAATCTGCAAAGCAAATACTGTAGTGGAGCAAAAGGGTATTTTTCATGAAGATTAAGGCAAAACTCCTCAAAATGGATCATGATTAGGGAACTGTACGGTGGGCAAAGTTCACGTAGCCTATTCGTTTGCAAGGCAGCACTATAGGCGAATCAGTAATGGACGGATTACACTATTGTTATCAGGACCTCCCGTAGCGCGTCAACATTAATCCTATTATTGGTCAAGTGACGGACTACCCCAGACTACAGCCATGTACTCTCACAGAGTAATAAAAGAATGTCTGCAAATTAATACATCTTAGTTCTGAAACGAAGAACTGATGCACCGAAATCATCCCGTTTGTCTTCGGTTGGTACTTCCTATATGATCATGAGTAGCCTCTAACTCAGTGAGACCGGCTCGAACAAAGCAGTTTATGGCGTGCCACGACGTGTCGTCAAACAAACGACTATTCAAAAAAATGCACGTTTTGGATTTGCATTTGGACAAATTTGAGTACGGTTTCCTTTTTTTTCTGGAGAGAAACATGAAATCCCATGGCACATGAGTCATTCTTTTGAGCAGACCTCAAATCGGAACTGTTCGGCAAGTATGAGCGAGCTTGTAAGCGACGTTCATGTTCGAATTCCATGCTCACACCACCTGAAGTGCACTGGCGTGCTGCACGATCAAGGATACTTTTCAGACTTTACGGAAGAAGTCATACTTTTGAATGAAACTGTTCACGAGTTTGCTGCAAACACATTGACAGTCCATGAAGGGTTTTGTCCTTTCTTGGGCTCATCAGGTAGGTACAATCCTCGAGTCTCCCTCGACCTCATCTTTTAATTGAACCGAAATCCTACGCAGTTGACGAATTTCATTCGTTTGCGCATCAAGGCTAATAGCCGAATCTCAGCCGAATGACTGTTCTGGTTGTGCTTTCGGGGAAATTTCAGCAAACTTTTTGACAGTTTTCCTCAAAAAACATACCGCTATATCTCAGGCAAAACTCCCATGGCAGTCTTTAGACAGTACGCTCAGTTGAAGACTTATTAGTGCACTGTTGATGATGGTAGTAGTAAAATTCAGAAGGTATATACACTAATAAAAGTTCTTACTACGGTTGACAGTAGTGGGTTGCAACACGTATAAAAATGGGAGCAAGTCAAAAGAGGAAAGTCCGGACGGCGTGAATGTGTTTTCTCCGCAGTATGGCTGCTACACGTGTTCCATAGTTATCCGTGGACTTGTGGAGAATGGTTGAACTCCTGCTCCCTGCGCGCGCGCGAGTCTGTGTGCTGACTGTGTTCGGTTTCCCTAGATGTAGGTCCGTTTGCGTGTATTCTGTCGTGTCAGTACATAAGCACATGAGCACACTCACTAGACGGTACAGACAACCGTTGTCCGATGAGTCGCCTCGATTTGGCGTGGTTTGTGAGTATGAAAAAAAGACAAGTCTTGTGATCCATTGAGCGACTGTGAGCTGAACAGTCAAGTACGTGGGTGACTGGGTGGCTACACATTCGGGTTCTCATGAGTGAATTAATCGAGTCCCACATGCTAAATGCTTTCGGATATCGCCGTCAAATTTCGTTACCCGGAATTATCAGCTGTCCCCGTTATTTGGAGGAAACTAAGTGATTCAGACAACATTTTTCTTGAATACTGGATTAGGGCTGGCTTTGAGGCGCCGAAAATGTTTTCCGCTTCATTAGCCCTTATCCCCGCCCTACACAAAGTTCCTCGAAATTGAATGTTCTTTTCACACCATCTGTTCACGATGCTTGAATTGACAAACCACAGGTTTAACTCAGTGTTTCGTGTCAGTGCGATTACGTCTCGGAATATTTTCACAATGGGACTATTTACGACGTGGTGTGCGACAACAAAGTTAGAAAAACGCTGAAGCAATTATTTTTAAACTGTTTTCAGTGTAAGTTTACGGACGATCGACGATTTGTTGTGTGTCAGTTGCGGCAGTAAGTATGGAGCCATCCGAAAAGCTAATGCTCTCTCCACTGGCGGAAGATGGCTTTGTAACCTGAAGAATTCCACATGGGATACACGTCCAAAGGTGGCTTATTGCTAGGCGTCATTAACTGAGTTTGTGGCCTTTTTAACCTTCGCTGCATGGCGGGCTTTCTGTAAACCCAAAATTAAGCGCCCAAAATCGTCCAGCTCGATCAAGGAATGTGCAAATGATAGTTAGGAGGTCAAATTGAACTCAGCAAGAAAGCAGCAGGGTTAAAAGAAAATCAGTTACTGATGACAAGCTGTTTGTCTCATCAAGTAACCCCTTAAAGGCCTGACCAAGAATCCACGCCCGATTCTGGCGGTGCGTACTCTCATTATATATTTGTGGGAGTTTGAATGTTTACTTTTCGATTTACTTACTAACCGATTGGAGTGTTTGATTTCCAACTCAACGCAACAGGAAGATTAATTAATTGTTACTTCCAAATGCGGATCCCTGTTCACTCCAACACCCAGAGTACAGCAGAACTGACAAAAACAGCTTTCCATACTTCATAAATTGAAAGATATAGTGCACTTTTCCACAAAAATTCTCTGCGGGATTCTGTGTGCGTAATAATTGCAGTTTTTAACAGTTGGTCCGAGACCTTCGGCTCGAGTTTGAAATTCCCTCCTGTCCCAGTTTCTAGGCAGTTGAAATCTGTTATCTTCTTGCACTTGTGTCCACTGGTTATCATGTCCCGGATGCCTTCAGCAAACGACTTAACTCTCTCCTTTGTGATAACCATTTGGGGATAACGAAATTTGACAAAAACGCACTGACCCTTGGGCTGGTTGATTGCAGTTTCATCATTTGTTAGGGTGTCATCTTCAAGTGTGACAGATTGGCTAAGCCCCGTTGATTGGTGCTGAGCCAGTGTGTAGGCCTTAAGTGATGTTGTGCTCGTATGACCTTGAATTTCAATTGGTCGCTTGGATAGCGTATGCTATTGACTGAGGAGCTGACTCATTTTCTGATTAATCGATAGCCGGCTGATCTTTGATCTTGGCCTTGTGATTCGCCCCGGTCATCCTTGCCGCGTCAGTCCCTCGGTTGTTTCATAATCCACTTATCTGACAGACAATTTCATTTGATATATCCGGTCAATGTGACGACATTCTGCTCGTGTATTGATTGGTGTAATTTGTGTGCCTGGTGTTTGAGGCTGTAGTGGACTCCAGTCTCTCCAGGATCTTTTCTACCTATCTTGTCTTTCCAAAACAGCCTGAGTCTACGGGTCTGAACTTGGGCTTTTCCAGATGTGTGTGTATTAAGAAGGAGGTAGAGAATCATATCCACTGATTGCTGCATTACGATTCGCCTTCTGTCAGTCACGATCATGATCACTATCATTTTTGACAGTAGAACTGGGTGCGAACACTGATGCCTGACTGCCGTCACGAAGAGAGTGACGGCTTGCACACCCCCATAACCCACCAAGCTATAGTGGAGAGTGCAAGGGTGACACTTACAAAGCCTTCTGTGGGAAGAGGTCCAGTCTTCTTGTCCTCCAAAGTGGGGGGTTCAATATATGTAGCAAATTGCTTCCTAAAACTTTGGACTACTCTTAAGGTTTTTTGCCAACTACCGTTGCTTTTCCGTTGGGTGTTCGAGTCAAAGGCTTTGGTTAAGTATCGCAATCGTCCACCAGACTGGGTGTCTGCGCTATGACAGTATTCCCACAATTTCTGTCCAATTATGATAGCTTATGCATATCATTCCGTCACGAACAGACTGTACCTTGCCGTGGTGTGACGCTTTGCGCCCCTCAGCGATCCATTGAGCTATATACTGGTGAGGTGCCCCCGCGATATTCAGAGTCTCCCATACCAGGTTTGTCAACGGTTAGAGCTCTGACGAACACAGTCTCCTGGCCCTCCAGGTTGGGGGTTGAAACATGTGGCTACGGAGTTGGGTTCGAACCAGGGACAATCTGGTCAAGACATTGTTGCGCTTTAACTACCAATCTATGTCAAGTACGTACGTTGTATAGAATATAGGTCTCTCTAGTAATTTTCAGAGGCATTTAAAACCTTTTTATGTGTACTCAAAAACAAAATTTCGTAAATTTTTCTCAGTGCATGTAAAGAATAGGTTTGAGGAATATGAATCTCCAGAAAGCTTAGATTACGATGTCTCTTGCCATATTTGTAAGAGAGACTTCAATGGAACAAAAAACAGTATAAATGTAGTCACAAAATCGACATTAAATTTGTCGTTCATTTTGAAGCCCGATGCACCTAACCCAAACCAAGATGGAGCAGTTTGATTGATTACACTTTAAGGAGCCGAATTGATAACTGATATGTGAATCGCTACTGGACACTTTTAAAACCGTGTCGATGTGACAGTGTATACCGCGAGCTGAAGAAATCATCTGTTAAACAAACTGTTCAACGCTAAAAAGTCTGCCATTTTTAGGAAAGAAAATGTCAGTTCAACTTGTGTACCCATATTTCAGAACTAACGAAGATAAATGTTGCACTTGGAGATGAATTGACATAATAAAAGCGCGGTTGTTTTTTTATCAGATTAGCGAATGAAAAGTAAAAAGGCGCGAAGGTTTCAACGTGACTTTGAACGTCCTTTTGTGGTACCTACACGGAAAATGTAAGCTTTTGGCTCAAACTCAGTCATTATATATATATATATATTCGAAATTGAAAAGAATAATCAGTCCTGGATGTACGGACCACTGGATATGTGGTATGTGTGTGTATATGGGAGAAAGGCACCCACC